TTCTGGGTCATCTTCCCCTCAGACCCCACCCCGCGCCCTTGCCTGCCCCCGAGTCACCGGCCCCGGGAATCTCTCCTCTCCGGTGGGATGAAGCGGGGAGCGGGGCGGGGGGGCTCTGGCCGGGGCGCAGGGCCAGGGGAGGTGGGTTTTCCCCGACCTGGCCATCCTGCATCGGCTCCGGGGCTCTCCGGGAGTCTCCGGGAGCGGGAGATCCGCAGCTCGGAGCAGAATTGGGCCCCGAAGGCAGCAGAGGCGGGAGGGTTCCTGCCTCATCCAGGGAACAGCGTGGGCCACCAGAACGAGCCGGGTGGGAAGGGCGGCAGAAGGAGATGCTGCAAGGAAATTCGTTCCCCTGGGATTATCAGGGCCGGCTAGCTCTGAAACCGTCTCCAGAGGCCACGGGCCTAACTGCAAGAGCCATGGCACTGGGGGAAAAAAGACGAAGCGGGGCAGAGCGGGGGCATCGCCAATCCGGTCATGGGAAACTGCTCCAAGCAGGGAGCAAAGGTGGAAAAGCCTCAGGTGGTTACAGAGAGGGTGAGAAAATACAGAGAGGCAGAAGGAAGGCGAGGGGTGGGAGCTGAGCCGCTAGCTCAGGCTGGGGGGGCACGGAGCCATCCACAGAACGATTAAGTTTACATCTGCTCTGGTCAAGGAACGGAGCGGGCCTATACCTTCCTGGAATATACTGGGCGTCCCCTATAGACAAAGAGAGGAGAGGGGGTCTGAGCTGGTAGCACCGGGGGTCACTGGCAAAGGCGCGTAGTCTCAGGACCAGGTTAGCAGTCTCGTTCGCTGGGTTTGTAACCGTGGGGTGTCTGGAGACCAGAGCTGCTCGAGCCGAAACGCGCTAGGTGGGCGAGGCGTGCGGCCGAAAGACTTGTGCTTCAAGACTGCGGGACGGCAGGGTATTGCTGGAGCGGTGGCATGCACCCGTGGATGGGACGGGACGGGAGCGGCAGGTTAAAATCCAGAGCACTGGCGGAGAAAAGCTGAGGTCCAAAGACCGGCGGAGCTGTGGGAGCTGTTCGGCAGGAGCGAGGGGTGTCGGAGCGGGCATGTGGGGACGGCGTGACCTGAATGGCAGGGAGCGATGTGGCTCAGGCCTTCCATCGCAGAAACGGCGTTTGTAATGCTTTGGGTGGGGAGCGTCAGACTGGAAGGGCAGGGAGCACAGGGTGTCTCGGCAGCACTCGAAGGAGTTGGTGGGGGCCAGAGTCCGGCCTGAGGTGTGCAGGGACTGGTGCAAATCTGGCCCTTCTCTTCCCTGAAAGACGCAGGGAGTGCTCGGCACAGCCTAAATCGTGGCAAGGTGTTTGTGTGGGCAAGGAGGGAGAGAGATCTGGGGGGATAGAATGATCTTAAATTACTTCTCTTTTCTCTCTTCTACAGTGAACCTCATGCCCTGAGTCTCCAAGGGAACCTTTGAAAAGGATCTTCCCCTCCTCGCCATCTCTTTATTGTTTGCCAGCTCTGCCCTGCGCTGCACAGGGAAGCCTGAAAGAGCAGGCTGAGCCCTGGAGGGCAGCAAAAAGGACAATGTACTGAGGGTGCCGAGAGGTCTTGGATAGGGAACCCTCTGAATCTTGTTCCTCACCCTTCACACTCCGCTGATGGCTCTCTGACAGCCTTGGCAGGAACGTCGACCTTGCCACGAGCGTGGCGTTTGGTGAGCGGGGGATTACACATGGTGTACGTGCCGCCCTCACTGTTTCCGTGGTACCTTTGTCCTGCCTTCCATCATCTCTGAAACTCTTGGCTAGCTCCTCATTCACTAGGACGCTGGGCAGCAGGCTCTTGCTACTACCAAACTGTTTGGAGTCCCCAGCAGTCCCTGTCTGCATGCGGCCTTCACCAGTCCCAGCAGAAGGGGGTCCCTGAGACAGAAGGTGCCTGGTGGGCACATGAAGTAAGGAGAGCTTTTTCTTTGGGGGAGGAGCGGAGGAGGGGGATGAAATAGATGGGGAGGAAAAAAAGAAGTGAGCCCAAGCGAGTGAGGGAAGAAGCACTGGCAAGTGTTCATGAGAAAGAGAGAGAAAGAAGGTGGAAGAAAGAAAAAGAAAGAGAACAAGGGAAAAAACAGGTGAACAAGTTAGAACAAGGGAAAGAAATATAAGCAAACAGAAGGGAGAGGGAGGACTGGAAGTGAGACAGAGCTGACGGCTGTTCCGCCTAGCACCTGGTGGCAATGCCTTGAGGAACCCCTCCAGCGTGCGCACACCTCGCATCGCAGCAGCAGCGGCAGATGAGGAGGGACGTGGGCCCCCCAGTGCGGCGTCCCACCCACCCTCTTACCGAATCCCAGCGGCAGGGACAGGGCGCAGCCTAGCAGGGGTGGCAGCATGGGGGACTCTGATTCAGAGTCCACCTTGCACAACAACTCACTGTGGTGGCTGGCATGTGGGATGTTAGCCCTGTTGGCCAACTCTTGGATCATACTCAGCATCACGGCCAAGCAACAGAAACACAAGCCCCTGGAGCTGCTGCTGTGCTTCCTTGCTGGGACCCACATCCTTATGGCAGCAGTACCCCTCACCACCTACGCCGTGGTGCAGCTGCGGCGTGAGTCCTCCGACTACGACTGGAACGAAAGCATCTGCAAGGTCTTTGTCTCCACGTACTACACCCTGGCGCTGGCCACCTGCTTCACGGTGGCCTCCCTTTCCTACCACCGCATGTGGATGGTGAGATGGCCGGTCAACTACCGGCTGAGCAATGCCAAGAAGCAGGCTCTGCATGCAGTCATGGGTATCTGGATGGTGTCGTTCATCCTCTCCACCCTGCCCTCCATCGGCTGGCACAACAACGGCGAGCGCTACTATGCCCGCGGCTGCCAGTTCATTGTCAGCAAGATAGGGCTGGGCTTCGGTGTCTGCTTTAGCCTCCTGCTGCTCGGAGGAATCGTCATGGGCTTGGTGTGTGTGGGTATCACTTTCTACCAGACCCTGTGGGCACACAGAAGACGCCGGCGGTGCCGCCATCAGAGGGCGGAGGAAGCGTCATCCTGCTCTTCATCAGCACACACCACTTTCAATGTGCCGGCCATCGTAGTGGAGGATGTACGAGGCAAAAGGAGGTCTTCACTGGATGGCTCTGAGTCAGCCAAGACCTCCTTGCAGATGACCAACCTCATCAGCGCTATTGTCTTCCTGTACGACACGCTCACCGGGGTGCCCATCTTGGTAAGCAGCGAGTCCTCCCTTTCCCTTCAGAGTCTGCAGTTAAACTAGATTTCCATTTCTCTCAAGTTTTAGAGAAGAAACTCTGTCTTCTGTCCACCAGCCACAGAGTTGCCGCATCTGAATCTGTGTTATTCCGAGGGCCAGTTTTAAAAAGATTGCAGTAATTCTCCCATCCTTCCACAGCAGCATTTTAAGACGAGTCTAAGCCTGGGGAATACACACCACACAGCTATAAACCACTGTGAAGTTTTAAGTGGCTAAGAGGAGAGGAAATTATTCTGCAAACTTACTGGGGGATCTACCTCTGTAAAAACAAGGAGATTCCTGTTTCTCCAGTTTGCTTCTGGAGAACAGATACACCAGCTTTAAAAGCTGTTGCAGGCAGTTTTATTTTTCCTTCTGCTTGTATGGTCGTAGTCAGCATTCAGGTCTTGGCTGGCTGGTTGATTCTCTGCAAAACTGGAGAGCTGGGGAAGTTCTCAAAGGGAGCCATTAAGAGAACAGAAGCTTACTCGCAGCTTTTTTTTTTTTTTCCCCAGTGGCCGCGTCCTTTGTTAGCACCTATTTAGCTCCAGCTCATAATGAGCAGGGGGAAGAAGGGGTACTAACACCAGGTCTCACGTTAGAGATATGACAGCTCGATATATGGTTCAGCAAACCTGGGGTAACACCCCAGGAACAGTTTTTCAGAGAGGCACAGTGTAATTACTTGACAAACCCTTTACAGACAGATTACGTTCTACTACAGAACTGACTCCCGTTACCTCTCTCCCTTGATCCCCACTTCTGTCTTCTTTCTCGGCATTGTTTCTCTCTCTTACCTCAAAGGTTGTGAGCTTTTTTAGCCTGCGCTATGATACGGCCCCCACCTGGATGGTCCTGGCTGTGCTCTGGTGCTCCATGGTGCAGACCCTGCTGCTCCCCTCCTTCATCTGGTCCTGCGAGCGCTACCGAGCAGATCTCCGCACCGTGTGGGAGCAGTGTGTGGCTATCATGTCTGAGGAAGACGGAGATGATGGTAAGCTCCTCGCCACCCCACAGTCACCTTTCTTCACTAACGCCCTCCCCAAAAGACTATAGAGGAAAGAGGGGTCTGTCTTGGGGAAGGGACCCGACGGCACTAGGAGCAGTGTTGTGAGTGGCTAGGTGGGATTCACGTTATAGCTTGGAGTTAGCACCCATGAGAAAATTTATTCTGGAGAAGGCTCTGCCGCTCGCTTGCTGCCTTAGGACTCACTAGCATCCAGCAAAAATTAGTGCAACACCCCTCACAGAAGATGCAAGAGTAGCGAGGATGTGTACGGCTGCCAAACCACAGCAAAAGTGACACGCCGGGCCTCAGCCCAACTCGCTGATCCAAGGTCCACGTCCTGGCAGCGAGCGATTCAAACGCGAGGCAGAAGGAACAGGGCGGTCTCTGGGTGCTTCAGTGCTGCTGCAAGCAGAAAGATGAGGTCCCTGTTGAGGGGGGAGCCCCGAGGGCAGCAAGTAGGGCAGCAGAAGTCAGACAAGCGTTAGGATGGTGCCCTGTTAACGCTCCTCTTCTGGCTGAAAAGCGCTGACTGCCGTTCTCCTCTCTGCCAACAGATGGTGTGTGCGATGATTATGGCGATGGCAGGATCTGCAAAGTGAGATTTGATGCGAACGGTGCTGCAGCTGTGAAGCGGGACTCCCGGGACATCAAGCTGCTACCCATGCACCACATGTTGTTGCCCCAGGACAAGGTGCACTACCTGCAGGTGAGCCGAGAGCTAGCAGGGGCAGCCCCACAACCCACTTCTTTCTCTGTCAGTCTCCCACGCCTGTGTGTTGTCTCGACTCTCCTCTCCGAGAAAGTCTCAGCTACTCCCCTCCCGTTCTGTCTCTTCAAGTCTTCCATCACCTGCCTCCTTCTCTGTTTTCCAGGTCCCTATCTCCCGGAGAATGTCACATGATGAGACTAACATCTTCTCCGCCCACCGCTCCGCTCCATCCTTCCTACACAAGTGGTCTTCATCTGACGACATCCGCATTTCCACCCCCCGCAAGGCTGGAGGCCCTGGCTTCTTGCCTCCTCAGCTGCACGACTACCAGCACCGCCGGCGGCCCCCAGAAGATGAGCTGACGACCCTACGGCAGTTTTTGGAAGGGGGGCTGATGCCCCGGGGCTCCAGCTCCAGCGCCTGCTTCTTCCGAGATGAGATCACCACGTTCATCGACGAGACGCCACAACCCACCCCAGCCTGCAGCCCACGGCACTCCCGTCTCCCGCTCGCATCACGCCGCGATCGCCGCCTCTCCCTCGGCAGCAGAGAGGAGGAGAACGCCGACCGGCCACGGCGCTGCTCCTTGGCGGGCAACGAAGCCTGGCACCTGCAGGACGGCGAGCAGGCGCCGGGTGGCGAAAGGACCCTTGAGGCCTGCGAGGCACAGACCTTCCAGGATCCCAAACTATGAGAGACAGCGTCAAAACCGTGCCGCGCCATCACAATTTTTAAATAAAACTTCAAGTGTTCCCTTTATCCTGGGACCCGATCACTAATTTGCATTCTCATCTTTCTCACCAGCAGGCAGGAAACACGGCACCCCGCGCTGGTGGGGGAAAAAGAAGTGGGACAGACGTGCAGAAGGGAGCGGACAGACAGACGGACAGCCTGTGCCTGCTCTCAGGATACAAACACACCCGCCGCTGCCACCGCCACTTGGCACCCTCGCCCATCCCGTCCCTTTGTGAACTCCACCCTCCCATCCGCCCTGCCCTGAGAGACGAGGCAGGTGCAGAATGGTATTAAAATTCTATATTTGGAGTGTCAATCGTGTGTCTGTTTTTTAAATAATAGATTAGTAATAATTTTGTTTCCATAGAAACAAAATGACTGGCCCAATGTTTAATGAAGCTTCACAGGCTTCTGGAAGGGAAACGTGGAACGTGCGAGGCTCCTTTCCTCCCTCTCCATCCCTTTCTTGTCAGCGCGTCTGGAAGGCAGCAGATGCTTAGCAGCCCAGGGAAGGGAACGGAGCCCGTAGAGGAGTTGTCATGGGAGACTGGGTGAAAAGTTTTCCTGTCCGTTTCAGGGGAGACTTGGGCTGCCTACAGCTGACCCGGAGCGGCCTCTGTGCTTTCTAATACTGCTCAGCAAAAGGTATTGCTTTGGGGCAACCCCAGGCTTGAAAACCATTAAATTCTCTCCAAAAAGACCCTGACCCGTAACACCTCATTTCGTGGGTGCAAACCGTTGATTCCAGCGCGAACTTTACGTGAAACGTGACGGCCCAAGCTTCTCGCCCGAAGGGGAAAGCCGACAGAGCCTTCTGGGGGAAGGTCCCCGACCGCCCAGGCCGTCAGAGCTGTGAGCGGTGAGGTCTGGAGCCGGCTCTTGCCCCGCTCAAAACTCTCGGAAGAGTGGTGCGGAGGTAGCGTGTGGGAGATGGACCTTCTCCCGCCCGGTGCCGGCTGCGGTCCCAGCCGTGGGCGAGGGTTCGGCTGACCCCGGAGGGGCCGTGGGAGATGGGCAGCCCTTCGCCTCCAAAGCGCTTCTCCGCGCCATGGGGCTCGGTC